TCTTCTGGCAAATAGGTTTATATATTGGCTTGTACTTTTTAACTGTTACAAATATTGGATAAGTAATAATTTGTATTTTTTGTGGTTCAAGTTTTCTTTTACTTACTTTTTTTTAATGTCACAGATTTTCTGGTCTTTATGTTATCTTAGGGAAATGCTGTATACTTTCCAAATATACTTTATTTTTCTCATTTCCAAAACACAGAATTTCACGCTGTGACAAGAATTATTTTTGCTTTTCAAAATATGTAACATAAAAAGCAACCAGGACTAATTCTTGAAATTATAGGTCATCAATTCCTTGCCTATTCTATGTGGTTTCCCAGTATTACAAAGACTATGGATTCTCTGAGATCCTTCCAGTTCTGTGACCCACCTCTTTTTCAAAACAACTTTTTCCCCTCCCCCCCATGCCTGCAGGCTTGTTCCTCTTCATTAACATACTCAAACTTAATCTCTTCCATCTGGCAGCCCGTCCTTTGGGCTGCAGTCTGAGGATCTTTTATAGACATTTGTGCTGCTACTCTGCACTGTTCATATTTGCCTCTAGTTGCTGTAGCTATAAGTGACATATAGCAAACTGCATTTGTACATGAACAGGGACTGGGTTTTACAGCCATGAAGCTGCTGTCACGGATGCTGACTGCCCACAGGGTGGACAAAGACCTGCTGTTTAGGAGAGCTAGTATTCATAAGTTAAAGAAACAAACCATTCCCATACACTTCACTGTAGCAATGGCCATAGGAGTTAGCAGAAAATCTTTTCAAAAGTTGTCTTTTAAATGTTCAAGCTATGGAGATGTTGTGAAAAGGTAGGAAGAACTTTGCTGACATTCCTCTTAGTTGTTTTGATGGCAGAGCTCTTCACAATTTCTCCTCCAAGAGGGTAGTTGAGCTATCTGAAACACTTTAGTCTATCTCGATAATCTTTGTCCCTAAATATATGGAAGAGTTGTTTGGTATTACTGTAAGATTATTGTGCAGAATTCTGGGCAGATCTGAGGTTTAGAACACTTGGGAGACTTCAAAGCTGTTTGCTCTAACTTGTCGAAGTCCACCTTGACTACCTAACACCGCTTTGCCTTTCCATCCTGTGCTGGCCTTTAACAAGAAAAATGTTGTTTGAAGGAGGAGAACATATACATCGAGCAACTGATGATGACAGTGGCAGTGAAACAGAATTTGTAACCCTCCAGTAACTGTAATAAAATAGACTTTGTTCCATTAAAACATGTACTTTCTTTGTATTAACTACATGAAATACTGCACATCTGAAATTTGGGATTAAATTGCTGCATGCACACTGTTCCAAATAAAATTTTTCATTGTTAGTAACCTTGTAATATAACTACTTTTATGCCAGTCCTCATTATGATGAGAAAGGTTTATATTGGATGATACTATGGTTTATAATGAAAATATCTGGACAGTTAAACTCATGATGTGGACTTCCTTGTGTTTTAGGGTGCATTTTAAATAACTGTTCAGTTGAAGGCATATAGATATATTTCTTTTTTCTTTTCTAAAGTCTGTAGAAATAGCTCATGAATGATGCTATAAACTTTTAGTTCTTAAAAAAAATTCATTATAGTGTGCTTAATATGCACTTCTTCATTCAAACAAGCCTGATTCAAAATGTCACTTAACTGGTATAAGATATGGAGCAATGAGAAATTACATATAATCTAGTTGGCTGTAGAAATAAGGATTATTAATAATATACATTATTAAGTAAAGTAAAGCTTATTGAAATATTGTACTTGTCACAGAAATAAATTACTAAAATTACTTGATTTAGTCAAGTCACTTCTAGGAAAAAAAGAATTGTAGCAGAAAGAGATATGGGTGATTTGCAGACGTGCTCTCTTCTATGACTGACTTGTGCCTAGTACATAATAAGAAATGTAGTTCTGCTGATTTACAGCCATCATTTAGAACTACCTAGAAGCTACCTAAAGTCCTGAAAAATCTTAAAGCCTAAATAATATCCAAAGGATTAGAATATAAGTATTTCTGAAGCGCTGTAGTTTATGGGCTAGACAATTTATCACTGATTCAGTCCATAGCACTGCGCTTTTAAGGCAGGCTAAATTCTTAGTTTTAGGCTGGAACTTGAGGCTACAGTCTTGTACTTGCTAGTATTTTTTATCTAATCCAGAGATGTAATAATATAACTTTTTAGGAAAATCGCACAAATTTTTCTGTCTATAATGCAGATGATGAAACTCAACCACTCAAAACTTCCTGTAAGTATAGCCATCAGTTTTTCAGGTGTCTGCTCTCTTTCTAAAACAATGTAGGAAAAGTATCTTGTCTTTTTATTAAAGATGTTGCTCAAAGAGTCAAAAATAAATCTTAGAGTAACTAGTTAAGATTCAGAGACCTTTTCTTTAGGGTTGAGATACCATCTTCTAGTATCTGGAAGTATGTAATAACATTGTAGGATAGACTTCTATAGAAAACTGTGGGAAGAAATTTCCATTCTGTTTTAAAAAGCCATATATATAATTTGTGATTAGGAATGTTTGTGTTCTGTTTTCTCAAAATTTTAATTTTGCACTATTATTATGCATTTCAAACTTCAAATAGAATTAATCCTCTGACAATTTCATTACTTCTATACTTAGTATTCCATTAAAATAATGGCTTTAAAATCTCATTTACTTTCAGCTGAGAATATACAGTATTCTTCATACTGATTGGTCAAAGTAATGGGTTATCAGATTAAACACAGAACAAATTAAAAATGTAGTTTTTTTAGTCTTTGAATATTTCTTAATTTCATAAAAATGTTTTCTTACATAGTTGTATCATTCTTATCAACCTAAGAGTCTTTTTTATTAGTACTGTCAAGACACATGCCATTTCAGAGAACTCGTGTTCAAAAGAGTTTCATTAGTATCTGTACTCCTGTTCCATTATGACTTACTCTTAAATGGAAATAAAAAGGGAAAGTTTCTTGCCTTTCAAAAAAATCACTATGATAAGAAGCCTTTAGTATTATCTTTGATATCATCAGTTTAAAATACAGACAGAGAGTGCACAAGGAGACTTTCAGCTTTGCCTTTTAAAGCATGGGGCAGTTGTCTGCCCATTTTTTTATTCATATGACATCAGAGCCAAGAGGATTTAACAGTCACAATAAAATTACTCAGTACTCAGCCTAGGAGGAGAAATGATGAACTCATACTTAAGACTAACACATCTGTGAGGAAAAAACTGTATTATAACACAAAACCAAAGTAAGCTATTTTACCTGTCAAAGATAATTGGTACTCAAGATGGCAAGATAGTTCTATAGGACACAGGCTAGGCCATTTATGCTGCATCTTCTCACCTGGGAGCTCAGAGGCACTGCTTCAGCTTTACATAAGGTGCTCTGAATTGCTCTCAGAGAGGAAGCAGCTCCCGCTGAACTCCTGAAGTTTCCTCCTCACTGCTTTTAAATAAGTAAAAGGCCTGTTCGGCAAGGCAGCAATGAAAGTAGGGCCTTCACACAAACTCAAGAAGCATATAGTGAAAATGCCCTTCAGAATGCAAAAGCCACCAACGTTGACTAAAAATTATGGTGTGCTGCATCTGAAAGTTTGTAAGTGGCTGGAAGTTAGGCTGCTAGATCCACTCCTCTTGGTGCTCTGCCCTCCAGAACTGATCCAGGTCTCATTAGTGGTAAAGTTGGACAATAACTCATGAAAGCATTAAAAAAAGTGGTTAACTGGACTGTAAAAAAAGAAAAGGTCTGTTCTACCTTAACATATTTCTTCCTTTCCTCTGGAAGTGGCTACCAGCACATAGCTTCTCAAAATTAAGGCTATACAGAAAACAGTGGCTGAAGTAATATCTAGAAAAATCCAGCAAAGATATAGCCCTTATTCATGAGCAAAAAACTTTTATCTTATCTTTTTTTTTTTAATTTGCCTTTTGACCATGTACCTCCAGAGTATTTCAATATTGCAGATAGATTGAAAATGACTGGTTCAAAGCAGTGGTTCCATAGTTACGGTCTGCAAGGTCATGATCTGCAGAATAATTTTAAGGATATAGTGTTTAATTATGAGTTTGATGATAAGGATGCATCCACAAACATTTTGGGTGATCCAAAACATGTTTAAAATGTTGGTTTAAAATACAGCTTTGCCGAAATATCTTATAAAAACATCCAGAAGGTTTGTGTTGATAAGATCAAGAAGTCGTCTTAAAGTGGAGCTGGTCATTTTGTTAGAACAAAAGTCAAATACCAGATGATTATACATGTGTATGTTTTGACTTTAATATAGATTAACAATGGTTTGTATCACTCTACAGGAGTTTAATATACTTCTTAATATAAAAGGCAATGTAACACAAAGATGGCCATGGTTCTTAATGGCTTGTATTAGCTGGAAGCTATAAAATCGTCCTAGTACTCTGTTAGAGCTGGAATAATAATTTACCAAGACAATTACCACATGGTGGAACTTTTTTTCTGCTCTAATTCAGTGTTATTAATAATGAATAAAATTGCAATTTTCTCAGGTTGCTAGGGGCAGTAGGGAATTATTTCAATGAATATTTCAGCACATTAGTTTAATCATAGTTCACAAAATTCAAGTGGGCAATATTTTATACTTCTAAGTTCAGTCTGCTAAGGGACCATAGTCATTAAATTGCAAACTGTTTGCACTGAGGTCCATTCTATGATTTACTAGCCTTGTTAAAAACACTGTAAAAGAAAGCAAGCTGTGCCATTAATACTTGTAATTTGATGCTGCATTTGTTAATGGGCTCAGTGTGATTAATGTTTTTAGCAGCGGGCAGAGCATTTTGAGACAGGCAGTACTGGGGCTTATAACATGTAAATGCATGTAAAGAAATGCTAGAATATTGTAAGTTTTAGTAATAAATGGTTTTAAAAGATTGTATACCCAAAATGGAAAAGCAGCAGTGAAATTATACTGTAATGTGTGTAAATACAGTTCAAGCCATGGTAGGTGCTGATGTGTGTGTTCTTTATTTTCTAGCCAACTGCATGACTTCTGGCGCTTGGATTACTGGGAAGATGATTTGCGCCGACGGAGGCGATTTGTTCGCAATGCTTTTGGGTCTACTCATGCTGATGCTCTCCTAAAAGCTGCCGTGGAATATGGTCAGTATTAGCTCATGCTTAAATATATAGCTCATGATGTTTTCTTGATGTCCATGAATCCCTGAGAATCATGTCCCTTCTTTTCTAGTGGCAGTACTGAGAATTCCTAGGACAACATATTCTTAGAAAAGCGATTCTTTCAATTCTTACGCTGTAATGAACCAGAAGGCTTGAGCTTGTGGGCTGTTAAATTCTCTAATCCCCAAGGGATTCACATAATACTTCTCTAGCGTTCCCAGACACTAATTTTGAGACACTGGTAAAAGCAACTAACTTGTCTCTCCAGAGTGACTGAACAAAACTTTTAGGTCATCAAACTAATGTGTCATAACAGTTCCACTGGAGACCTTTCATGAATGAGGAATTTAAAAATATCAGAATTTTTATCCTGGCATGCATAATTTCAGACAAAAGTATGTTTTTTCCTCCAAATCATGAAATGTGTAAGAACGAGTTTAAAATAATTATTTTTAAGAATAACTTGTGATTTGAGTAGTGAACTGACTACATAGAAGCTTCAGTCTAGGAACTGAAGAATTAGATGATGTTTGATTTTCATGGAGATGTAGGTGAAGTATAAAAGAGGAAGAAGGAACATGCTTACAAGTTCCCTTATATCATCTACAAGTTCATATGTTAGTGACTTCTGTACAGCAGACTGAGTCTGAATACTCAAAAAATCTAAAGCAAATTTATTTGTTATGTTTGAGCTGGCGAACCTCTCTAACATATCAAAGACAGAAGTTTTTTAAAGAATGTTAAGATGGTTTTCTGTATTTATTTTTTTTTAATCTGTAATGCTGAAAAGAAAATGCTATGATTTGTTAGCATTTAGGAGTAAAAAATGGAAGTAATCATTCACAAAGCAAGTTGAACCTTTCAGCTGATGTGTAGCCAAAGGCTAATGTTGCCGGAAGTTCTGAATATGATAGATATAAAGCTAATTCTGTGTGACCTACATATTTCACCAACTTTGCAGTTGTTGAAGCAAATAGTTGGGATTCAAACAAGCTTAGACATATGAATTAATATCTGTGTGTGCAGGTATACTAGCAAGTGTAACTTAATACTTATTTAAACACGAAGGCTATCATGTGCAGGACTTCAAGTCATAAACTGCTCACGAGTTGGGTTAAGGAAGCCATTTCCCCCAGCGGTATGTAGTATTTCATATTTGACAAAGGGTTATTTTCTCCACAATGTTCTAAAACATCAAAATAGAGATTTTATGAGAGGCAGGTACAAAACTGGGCTAATTTCTGTGCTGCTTTTGAAAGGCAAATAATCATCAAAAGCACAGACTTTATATAACACCTGTTAGTGCATTCAGCATACAGGAAGATTAAAGCTCAGGTGTGTACACAGGTGGTGCACATCAAACTTAGTGGTGAATAAAAATTACAATAGACTGAAGTTTGCAGAATTAAAATAAATAATTCTAGCTTTACTCGTATCTATTAAAATTAACATGGAATTTTAAACCAGCATGCATTAAAGTTATAATTCATGGTTTCTAGCTAGATGTACTTCCTTTTCAGAGGCTTAAGCTTTTGGATTTTAATAGTGAAACTTTTAGCTGACCTTTTTCTGTAAGAAAACATCCTTAACACTGATGTTATTTTTATGCCTCTTGGTGTTACTAATGAGTTGAATAATTTATGAGGTTGTCATGTGAAAAGGATTTGGTGCAGTTTGATGTACTTTTAGCCTCTGGTGTTGGAATGTGATTAATAAAGAGCTAGAGGCAGATTTCTTTTTTTTCCATAGGGTTTAACATTCATTGTGGCTGGGTTTTTTTATTGGCTTTGTTTTGGTAATTTTGTTTGGAACAGTTTGATAGTAAAATGCCCCTAGCTTTTAAAACTGAGTATATCACACTACAGAAAGAATTTAAAGCATTTTAAAAAAAATCATACTGCATAGTTTTCCAGTAACGAATTTTATTTCCTGACCTCAGATACTTTGTTTCTGAGAAATAAAGTATTCATCAAAGCAAAATTTGTTTGGCTTTTGTTTCACTTTTTCATCTTGACTGATACCTCTAGTACAAGTAATGCTATTTTGAGTATCAGTAAAATAGTGAAAACATCTTAAAAGTTTTTGTTATCTACATTGACTGTCAGTTATCATTTAGGATTCTGTGCATAAATATTGCAATGGAGGAATGTTTAGTCAAAGCCTAAGTCAGCAAGCTTCTCAGTGTCTACGATCAAAGGCATCAACTTAAATAGGTCTGATCAGGCATTGCAGAAGAGGGCAGGCAGTTTCAGCTGAGCAAAAATCACAGAGCAAAGATGACAAAATTAATCAGTCATTTCTTTGGCAGTAAATAATAAGATAGGCTGAGGGTTGCAGATGAGAGAATTTCAAGATTCCTTGGAGATGCGCCTGCTTAACACCTGATTTATCTGAGCTTGTGCAGCCATAAAGATATGACCTTGATAAACAAAAAAGTGCTTTACAGCTACTCTAGTATTAAATCAGAGTCAATGTTGGATGTATGGATACTGTAATTATATAATATTTACTATCATCAAGGAATAGAAGAGTCTTGGAAATTAAAACTATGTCTACAATCTACATGTTTGTTTTAAAGAAGTAATAAAAAAGGTTAAATTCTACCTTGAAATGCTTAAAAAAATGTTATTTTAGCTAATAGTGAATCCTTTCTGTAGGAAACATGCTGTTATCTACTCCTGGAAAATAATATTATCTCAAAAAAATTTTGCTACAGTGAAGTTTCTATGTAACTACAGTCTGTTAGTCAACTCTGTATGCATGTTTGGATGTCCATCTTTTATAAAATAAAATATGCGTACATATTTGTATTTGTGTGCGCATATGCATACATATGAATATATGTTCAAAGTACCTGACAAGTAAAAAATATTTCAATGAGAAATTATGACGTATTTCTATGGCTGTATAAAACTGTGAGAAAAATTATAGTTTATTCTTATGGCTATATACTTAGCTGTCCTTAGAGACTGTATGTATGTCATAGTCATAGCAACATTCTCCTTTGAGATTAGTCTGCTCCACTTCTAAGAATTTTATATTAGGCATTGGATTTGTTTGCAATCTCTTAAAATTACTTTCATACCCAGATTTAAAATGAAGGCATAATTAGTTCAGCATTGTATCTGCTGTGCCCTTTCACTTTAGTTAAATTCTTACTTGAATCGAAATATAGATTCATTTCTTCCTTTTGTGATGCTAAAAGGATGCTACTTACTGCAGTATCAAAGTGCAAACTGTAATGGGATTTTTAACTACCTGGAAATTTTTAGTAGAGTTTTAATTTTGTAGTGTCAGTAACTTAAACAGTTCTTATTCTAAGTTTAGATTGAATTTCAATATAATTGATTAAATTGTAGCCTGAAAAGAAAGAAAGAAAACAGAAAAGATTGTATAAATTATTATAAACTCTACTTTTCCTCCCCAAATTTTACTGCAGTAGATACGTGAAATATGCAGATATGACCCACAAGTCTTCTGTACATGTGGTGAAAGAACTGTCTCTTCGAGTTAATCACCTTAACAGTTTACAGTCATTGGAGATTAGTATAGAAGAGACACTACTGTACCACCCTGCCAGTAAGACAGAATACAGGTCCACAAAGGTCAGCTTAAGAGCAAAGTAGTTACTTTATTAAGCTTTGATCCTTCAGTCTTTAAAGATTGTGATCTACAAAAAATTTGTATATAGATGGAGTACAAAAAAGGCCACATTTTCTAGACTACACTGGAGAAAATGGACATGAACTCAGTGCCCGTGTTCTAAACAAACATGTGTAAACTGGTCAAATATATCTAGTGTCTGTGCTTGAGAATATTTAGCCTGTTAAGCTGATTATCATGACAGATCCTAAATGCTTAGAATGGAAAAAAAAAAGGCCTTCGTAATGTAATATGTAATACGTTCAGGTTTTGAAATAAAGCTACATATGTTTTATATGTGCAATATAGCCACATATGGCTTTTAAACTTGCATATTTTAAGATACTTATTTCCCTATGTGTTTGGACATCTAATTAGCAATCTTATTTCAAGGGCAGTTCTAGCTGAAGCAGACTGCAGATGGCTCCTTCTGGGACTTGTCTTTAGTGTTGTAAGCTTCACCAAAATACTGTGTGTGCTTATTATCAGAAATATGGTCTCATTACACAAGCAGAATTAAAAAGCATCAGGTTTGGAAACTGAAATGTTCAGAAACATTGGAATATTTGTAAATCTGAAATCTGTTTTCATGATGGCAGATGAATTTTAATGGACCATCAAAGATTCCTTCAGGCTTCTGAAGGACTTAAATTCCCAGAACATTTAGCTTCAAACAAGTGCTACCTTAAAAGAAAGTCTGTGTGAGTTCCCTGCTATGAAACTGGGGAGCTGAAATACATGGGAACCCATACTCAAACCCATACTCTTCAGAATGAAGTATCTGAGTGTCTCAGGGACCCTAAAGGAAGAATCAATTATTTTGAGGTCCTCAATGTTAGAGAAATGTCTCGAGATGAACTTTCAGAAACTCTAGCTCTAGAGCAACCCCTCAGTGCTGAGAAGTCCAAAGCAGTTGATTCCCACAGCTTCCAAGTTCTGTCTCATGAACTGCTGGGCTCCCTACCTTCTGCAGACAGTATTAGAAGACGATCGAGGGAGGAGTGTCCAGAGAAACTGTTAAGAAGCTAGTTTCATTTGGTATGCGCCAAATGTTGTTCTAGAAAGTTAAGTCAGTGTTTTGCAAAGAAATTTGCCTGACAATTTCACCTGATAAGACATTTGAAGAAATCATAATGTCCCATGAACCGGAGATGCTCAATTTCATCATCTCTGTTCAGAAACTGTGTTGTAAAATCAAACACGTTATTCTAGGAAGTCTGAATGTCCACCTAGAAGCTAGTCTTCATTTCCCTCCTGCATTTTAAGTTTTACACTTTGATTTATTAGATTGTTGACACTAATGACATTGCTAATAACGTAGAGGTGTCTTTTGTCAGTGA